TTACCCATTGAGTTTTAAGCAAGACTATTAAAAAGTAGCGGATGGTAGCTGCTCATTTCAAAACCTAATGTCCAGCAGACGGTGCATATTAATCCGTTTTTTTAATCACTTTGTTTATTAAAGGGTTTAGATCTTTACCTCTAAAACTTGAGGATTTTGTCTCACCACCTTGAGACTTATAGAATATACAACTTGCGAAAAGGCTTTAACCATTGGTAGGGTTAGGGGAACAAGGATATTTGTATTTTCACCTCTAGTTTGTTCCGGCGGTCTAGCTCCATCAGATATTCTAAAAGGCTTGTTAAGTATTGAATTATTCTCTTGCTCTAAGGAGCAATCGGTCTCTTAGATTTGTTGGTTTATACTCATTTCAATGCTTTATGCAGGGTTACATTGTACTAAACCGACCATGGGCCTTCGTTCAATGGCTGGAGAAAGCAGTGATTGAGGAAGAGTATGTCACTTGTGTGCTTGCAACTGCAGAAGTGTTTATTTTTATCTCTCTCAGATGTTATATAGTATTAATTTTAGTATGAATGGTGACTGATGCAGATACATTCTAATGGCAGAACCTGATCACATATTTGCAAATCCTTTGCCAAATTTGGCCTTGGAAGGGCAGCCAGCTGCATTCCCCTTCTTTTATATCAAACCTGCAGAGAATGAGAAAATTATAAGAAAATTTTATCCAGAGGAAAGAGGCCCCGTAACTAATGTTGATCCTATTGGCAATTCTCCAGTAATAATAAAAAAGGTAAGGCTACTCTTAAAGTAGCAATGTGTAAGGCCTTGATATGCTAAACAAGATTACTAACATGCTCTAATTTAGTGAATTCTTCACAAAGGTTCATAAAAAGAATAAAAGCCATGACTGCTCAGATTTTGCCAAAGGCAAAGCTATTTCGTAGACAGTAGACTATAATTTACCCTTTTGATTTTATTGACCCATTAATATGTGCTTTTTGAAAATATGAGTTTGCTGTTTTCTCTAAATTTATTCCGTTTCATTTTATTTCATGTTGCAGTCGGTTCTTGAAAAAATTGCTCCAACATGGATGAATGTTTCTTTGAGAATGAAAGATGATACTGAAGCTGACAAGGCTTTTGGATGGGTTCTAGAAATGTGAGTTGTATTGTATGGCTGTATACTTGCTTTGTTTTTCAAATATTGAATGCCATGTTGTCCTGCTAGCCTTTTTTATTTGCCTGTAATTTTTTTGTTTCTCAGGTATGGCTATGCAGTAGCATCTGCTTTGCATGGTGTAAGGCATACTCTTCATAAAGACTTCATGCTGCAGGTATTTATGAGCTAGAACACCTACCCCCACCCCACCCTCTTCGCGTTTGCGTGCTTACTTTATCCCTTTTTGTGTGTGTACTATTTATCAGTAAAACCAACAGTTATTTCTTCAGTCTTTCTGTTCAAGATCTTCTTACAGTTTTTTTTCTTTTTAATATAACTATACATACAATATAAAAATACAGAGGATATAAATTCTATTGCAACTTCTAAATAAATTATTATGAGAAGTAATTGTAAATAAGTTAAGGGAATCCTAGCAGCATGAGCAAAACACATGAAATGGGGTGAATATAATCCTAGCAGTAATATACTGATTACTGACAATTTATTATTTGTCTGCTGACAAAAGATTGATATTTATTTCAGCCTCCCTGGGACACTGAGGTTGGCAAAAAGTTCATCATTCACTATACGTATGGTTGTGATTACAATATGAAGGTGAGTTTTCTCAACTGCACATTTTATTAATTCAGTGTCGACATCTTTTCAGTTCAAGGGTATGAAATAAATATACGCATCATTGTCCTACTCTTATGGTGATTTTGTCAGGGAGAACTGACATATGGAAAGATTGGAGAGTGGAGATTTGACAAAAGATCCTATCTTCAGGGCCCTCCACCGCGGAACCTTCCTCTTCCTCCTCCAGGGGTTCCTGAAAGTGTGGTATGCAAACTCCCTTGCCCTTGTTTGGTTTGGGGATTCCTACAGGGAGGGGGTCAGGGGATGATATAACTTGTCAATGAAAAGAAGATGCAAAAATTCACGGTAGTCATTTACTCATTTTGCAGCCCAAAGCTATAACAAATACATAGAAAATTTAGTGCGGTAAAAAGAAGCACCCCCCTCTTTCCCTCCAAAATCCCGTAGAACATATAATAGAAAACATGTACAATAATGTTGGAGTTGCTCATCCTTTAAAAGTTACCGTTTTAAAGATGAAACCCTAGGTCTTAACAGCATAATCGTATTTGGTAAAAGTGTAACATAAACGTTCTAAACTCGCCCTGCTGACAAATAAAATACAAATAAAATCATAATCAATTCTTGAACTCTTTTAAATGGTTTCATTTGTTTATAAACATGTACAATGTTGCAGGTGAGACTGGTGAAGATGGTGAACGAAGCGACAGAAAATATTCCTGGGTGGGACACAAACTAAAAAATATATACCCCAACCGGGAGAGAGCGGTTAACTTCACTGCCTGTGTACAAGATTACTCATTCCCGCAACTAGGAATGTTCACACAGTGAGTTTGAACAGAGTACATTATTGAATCCAACAATGAGGAAAATATCATGAGCAGTCAAAATCAGTCTGATTTCTTGCTCTCTTGCTTTGTCTACCCATGGTAACCAATCTAATGCTCAAGAGCGTATCAAATATTCTTTTGTAGAAATCTGATCATTGATTTTAAGTTCTATTTCATTGTAACTTTGATGATCACTAACTTACTTTGAAACAATGTCATTATCCCTTACTAAAGTTACTCCGTAATCTAATTGTTATATTGAACATTTTGTTTTTTTTTGTATTTGATTATCACATCATCTGTTAAATGACATATTGTATTTAATATTTATATTTGTTTTATTGAACTAATGGAGATTCAATGGTTGTAAAGGATTTGTTTTTATGATAAACAAATATTCATGTTATGGATCTGGTTCAAAGAATCGGACTGGAGTACTGGACAAGCCGGGTCAGCCCAGAACCCGGTGAACTGGTATAAAAGTAAACATGTTTTGGAATTACAAAACATGACTTCTATTTTCTTCCGAAATAGGTGTGTGATGGCATTATTTACTTTCATGTTCGAGTCATTATTACTATCAAAATGGTTGCAATAATAGGCATTATCATGGCTGTATTTACTGTCATTAATGGTAGTATTTTTTCAATCATGGCATTGATGACTCATATTTTGAAAATAAAACATACTACCTCCGCCCCCTTAATATCGGGACGGAAGAGAGTAGTGTGATTTTTAAGAAAAGTAAAATTATGTGGTTGATAATGAATTGATAAAATGGAAATAAAGTAAAAATGAATTAGAGTCACAAATATGTTACCAAATATTGTATGTGACAACAATAGAGGGACATCCAAAAATGGGAAAATGAGACAACTATAGGGTGGAGAGAGTAACCGTTATATTTTGGAACTCTAAAACATATTGACATATTTAAGGCAATTTCTCAATTTAAAACATCCTAAACAATTGAGCTTATGAATGTAGATAATTCACTGGCTTCTGGCTGTGAATACCATTTTCCAAAAACGGGTGGGAGGAATCAAAACCTAGACTGATTTGGAGGCCAATTAATAACTCGGTTGTACAGTACTCAATGTACAATCGGATATTTTATTTTAAAACAATTTGGTAATGTTCAAAAGAAATTAATATTGATATTTAAATATAAAACCAGCACACAACAATTTCTTTGATTGATGTAGCGATCATGAAACTAATAATATAAATATAGACGATTTTGTTTCCAAAAAATCTAAATAAGCAAGAGTAATTACTTCTATGATGATTGAAATAATTGATTTTCCTAAACGGCGTCTGATTTAGACGATCTTAATTAGGCCAATTTGTGTATGATTTTCCTCCAAAATGGGAGTAGTAGTCTAGTACTCTAGTACAATTCTAGTTTTGTTCCCAATTGTTTGATAATTTTCAATAGGTATTAAATGGAACTAGAATCGTAGCCGGACTCAAACCAGTATAGAGCATGGGCAGGACCGCAGGAGGAAGACCTTACCAGAAATTTCCCATCCCGAACTCAGTTAGGGGGGTGGGGCCGTGGGGGTCCTCAAGTCTACAAACAAACAGATCAGGAACCTCCTCTTGGATCAACGTAGGGGTGGACTTAGGGGTGGACTCGAGTCCGGGTTGGGCCTAGGCCCAGGTGGGCCGGCGGTTCAGGAATGGTGGACCCGGGACCAGCCCAGGTAGCCACCAGGTCCGGGTCGGACCTCCAGTTTGGATTTTTTTTTTTTTGCTTTCCTAATCCCCCTCACCCCCCACCCCCCAAACCCATCCTAGCCATCAAGCCCAACCCGGGTGGAACCCCAAAAATGAAAAGAAAAATAAAAAAAATCCAATTTGGCCCGGGCCCGGGCCCAACCCGGCCGGGCCGTTCACCAAATTTGAGACCCGAGCCCGGACCCGCCCTACCCCCCGAGCCTAGGCCCCAAGAACCGGGTCGGTCCCGGTCCCGCACAGTAACGGACCAGGCCGGTCCACGGGCCGGGTGGCCCGACCCGAGTCCAACCATAGGTGGACTGGGCCGGGTCCAGGACTAGGCAGGCTCATGGTCCAAAAATATCAATCCCGGTACCGGCCCAGGTAGATACGGGGTACCGGGTCTAGCTACCTGGTCGGACTCGACCGGGTCAGGCCAGAAGTCTTCCCAATTAAAAAAAAATTGTTTGTTGGGCCCAAGCCGGTCCACTAAATATTGATGCCGTATTCCGTTGCTTCTTCACTCGGGTCAGGCCTCCTGGTCCCGGTCCCGGTCCCAGTCAACCAGGCCAGACCGGACCTGCACAGTGCCAAGTCAGGCTATCCCATGATTCCCGTCCCACTCCACCCCTAGCCCTAGATCAAGCCATCATACACTCGAGCTGTCGAGCACAAGTTCACTTCAGACGAGTCTTACTGAATATTTTGATCCCTTTGGGTTGACTTTGTATAAAATTGCCCAGAATTTTATAACATTTTAAAGTCATAATTATTAGGGGAAAATGTGTTCCAACAGGTAGTTCATATCCTCATTTTAAAGCAGATCAATAAAATAATAAGCTAGCAATTAGTTAGTAATGCTAAAAGAATGATATGAAATGCTGTTGGGAAAATACGTAGTACGGAGTACTAATTAAGAGGCAAGAAAATATTTACTCGTGCTTTTTAAGAATAAAAATCTGATACAACAACAAATCAGTGCCTCATCTTCCCAACGAGTCAGGATTGTCTTTTTTTCTTCTACTGTTGTGTATTCTCAGAGATTTACTCAGTTTTTTTGTTTTCTGCGGCGGTGGAGTCGTCTTCATTAACTTCCGACGCCTTAGATTTGGACTCATCGAACCCCAGCAACTGTACATAAAGAAAGTAAAAGAATCACCAAATAATACAAACACTGTGCACCACTTGGGTACGCATGATCAGCAAAGCAACAAAATACAAAGATAATAGGGAGTAGAAGTTATGAATATATATAGCCCGTTTGATAACACGAAAATCGACTGATTTGGGTGATTCTGCTGAAATTTAAGAAAAAAATATATTTCTGCGGTTACATTGGTTGATTCTACTGATTTAAGAAAAAAAAAATTTTAAAATATATTTTATTAATAAAATAAAGAAAAAATTATATGTAAAAATAATTATAATGTTCCTCTACAGTAACTTCAGCCAATACAGCCAGAAAAGTAACTTCAACCTTACCTTTTCTTATTATTACACAATTAAACACGCAAAAGCAAAAGTTACGTGTTTGGTGAAAAAATTGGCTGATAAGTCTGATAAGACAAAAAACAGTGTTACCAAACGGCCTCATAATATAGACTTCTATATTTATATATGTACACATACAGGTTTTACATCGCCGTTCCAAAGGCAATGCACGGCCAAAAATCCAATCACAGCTGGTACAATGTATAACAGTGCTGGCTGTAATATTATGAGGATTACAAAATGGGGTCAAAGTCAAGAAAATGAAGATATTAGGAAGCACTAAAGCACACGCATTTTTGTTAGCGGTGTTAGATTTGAATATTACTAACCTGTGCAGCTTGAAACCAGTTCATCACAAAGATGGTCAGAGCCAAACCGGCTGTGTAGCCTATGAATGAGCTTGTGAAGTATTGGCTTGACCTTCCTCTGGAGACGTCAAAGCGGAGTGCCAATGCGACAAAGATTCCTGTGCATATATGGTGCATTATTTAAAACATCACGAATGGTAAATCCATTCAATTTTTGATGCAGCACATGAAACTCATTGCAAAAATAAAAAAGATAATATACATGTTTAAACAAAAAAAAAATATGGCTGGCTTAATTAGTTAATTAATTTTCAAGTTACAATGTGGCGTGTTGGGTGGTCCCAAAAAGTTCCTTATGCACACACACACATTAATATGGTGCAGTTCAAACAAAATTAAGTCTTTCCATGAAAAACAAATCGAAAACCATCAAGGATGATGCCCTTTTAAGTCGAGTCTTGAACGTTAAAGATGAACATGGTGGCAGAAATTGCACTTGATTATAATTTTGCAAACGCATTTTTTCATTTCTTTCTCCTAATTCTTTTGAAACCTTAGAACCACAATCTAATGCATCACATTGGTTCTCACTTTTGACATACGGATCATATTTATTTGATTCAAATAATACACCACACCCACACATATTGATTTGAAGAAACCAAGTAATTCCTGGTAAATGTAAAACCAGAGCTGCCACAGTAAAATGGAGGTTATACCAGGTATAACAATATCCCCAAGGCCCAGCATTGAAAATGGACGTTGAGAATCTGCAGTCGGGAACAAAAGCTGCGAGATTTGAAACAACAGTTAGATACTTGATACACACCTAGATAATGAGATGGAAAAGTGGTTAAATGCAAATAACAGTCACAAACCTTGATAGGAGCATCAAAGGACTTTGCAACACTAACCATCACTGGGGTAAAAAAGACCCAGAAAATGTCATATACGAAAAGTCCAGCCTGCATTTTATACGGCCGTCTTTAACTGGCTAAAGGTGTAGACTAGAATTTAAATAAGAAAAAATACATATTGAAACATAGAGTCCCTTGTGAAAAGAAAAGGGTTACAGATTCCTCGTAATAAAGAAATGCCAGTCATGGCATACATATAGCATTGAAAGCTACTCTCATTTTGTCAAAAAAAAAACAATATTTGCACGGTCAACTTCTTCACCGTAAAGAAAATACCTAGTCTAAGGAGGTAAAATATATTGACAATATGTTTGCGCGCACTCGCAATTGAGCAAAAGTATTCTCACCAAAAGGATGGCGCCAGTCTTGAATGAACCAAGAGAAAGCATTTCTATGCCCTGAAACAGAATATGAAAAAAACAAGAAATATATCATGCAAGTCAATAAATATAAACATGATAAGAACAAAAAATACCATAGCACCATATCACACTTCGCAAATTGTTATGATGAACTCCAGTTGTTCCACTTTATTTGTCTTCTACTCTTTTTGTCCGTCATAACTCATAAAATAATTTCAGTTTGCTGGATTGAAACAAAACTAACTTCTTATTTTTAAAGGCATCCTCATTCATAAATCATAAGACTTTCGGGGATTAATAAGATGATAAAAAGGGCAGCCCTGTGCCGTCCCGCAAGACGATGGTCCGAGTAAGGATCCCACAACAAGGATTAATTAGATGATGTGGTAAATCATTTCAGACATCAAGATTTAGTGGAATAGATGATTTAGGGAGACATTGGACACCTATGTAGCACGGAAAAGCGAAACGTGAGACGTGAAACGGGAAATGCAAGAAACAGCATTTTCAAAACTGTAGGACACGAAACGTGGGGTAAGCGCTTAGAGCATCTCCATTCATGATCTTCAAAATTACGGTTTTTATGGTTTATTATTGCCACATCACTGCCATGATCTCTATTTATCTAGATTTTCATGAGACATACACTTAAATTCAGAATCTCTCACTTAAATTCACTCACACACTACCTACCCTAACACACTATTATGTACTCCGTAATATACATACCAACACAAATAAATTTCATTTTCATTTACCCCAGTGCCGCAAAGGCTCCCACCTACGGTGGGGTAAGGAGGGGTCGGATGTACGCAGCCTTACCCCTGTACTAAAGCACAGAGAGACTGTTTCCGGATGACCCATAGTGAAAATCCCGTCCAAAATTGCATGGACTGACTGCTGCTTCATAACAAAGAAGCGCAGACAGTTTAGTGAGCCATTTTGCTTTATTCCATCATAATCTCAAATAATAATGCATCATATCTACAAAAACATAAACTTCTCTAAAAACATAAACTTCTTTAATAAAGTTAAAAGGTATAAACTCTTAGCCACATTTAGCATTTACAAAATTGATTCCCAGCTTCATCAAAAATTGAAATTAAAAGTAAACAATGCGGATATTATTGTATGCGCACATTACATCACATACAATGTTAGGAATAGTGTAGGAAAACTACACATGTATTTCTTTGTAAAGCAAGGTAACTGCTTTCTGTTAGACTTCGGTTATGTTAGCTATGACTACTTCCTGTATAAATACTCTGTAATATCTGATTCTAAGTAAGATGATTTCATTTCTGCTTCTACCTTGCTTCATTTCTATTATGGTATCAGAGCTTTGCTCGATCTAACCATGACGAACTCTGCGTCTGATTCCTCTTCTTCTTCGCAATCATCTTCTCACATTGCTAATCAATCTTCGCCTATTATTTTTCATCATCCTCTACCTATTAAACTCGATTCAAACAATTTTCTGTTTTGGCGCCATCATGTTGAATCAGTGATCCGAGCTCATAAACTTCTCAAATTCATAGAAAGTCCTCAGATACCAGATCGTTTTTCAGTTGATGAAAATGGAGCGAAAACGGCTAACGAAGCATACAACACCTGGGAGCAACAAGATCAAATGCTGTTTTCGTGGCTCTTAGCTTCGCTTTCAGAATCACTTCATGCTCGCGTCATCTGGTGCAAGCATTCGCATGAGCTATGGAGTGAAATTCAGAATTTCTTCCGCTCCAGTATCATCGCGCGAGCTCGTCAACTGAAATCGGAACTGTATAACACCGGGAAAGGTGATCGTTCTATTTCTGAATACTTGCTTCGTATTCAAACAATTGTTGATAACCTAACTTCTGTCGGCGAGCCTATATCAACCAAGGATCACATCAATGTGATCCTTGAAGGTCTTCCTGAGGATTACGAGTCACTCATATCATCGGTGTCCTCGCGAAGTATCTTAGATCCTGTTACCTTATCTGAACTTGAAGGTCTTCTGCTAGCAAAAGAATTGCGACTGAAGAAACTTCGTGAGTCCTCGCAAAAAACAATATTTGCTGCTAATGTTGCTCGACCTGAATCTTCCTCTCAAAATACTGAAACCGAAGCTCAGGACAATTCAGAAAATGCTTCAGCTCAAGTTGCTCAGTTTGATACTTCTGCTCAGTTTGACCTCTAATATCAACTCCTCCTACAGAGGTAGAGGTCGTGGAGGTTTCAATAGGGGCAGAGGTGGTCGTTCAGGTGGTAGAAGCTCAGTTACTTGTCAAGTTTGTGGGAAAAATGGTCACAGTGCACTCGTTTGTTACCACAGATACAATCCAGCCTATACTGTTACCAGTCCTTTTCCTATGCAACAACAGCTTTCTCGTCCTATTCAGATCATTCACAAAGTTTCTCACTGAAAAAGGTATTAATCATAGAGTTATCTGTCCTCATACACACCATCAAAATGGTGTTGTTGAAAGGAAACATCGCACCATTGTTGAGAAAGGTCTATGTCTCCTTGCACATTCTTCTTTGCCTTTCAAATTCTGGGACACTCCCTTTGCCACTGCTGTACATCTTATCAACAAACTTCCATCAAAATCTATTGCAAATCTCAGCCCACATTTCAAACTTTATGGTACTATTCCTGAGTATACCTTTCTCAAAGTTTTTGGTTGCTCCTGCTATCCTTTCATTAGGCCTTACAATAAACATAAAATGGATTACCATTCCAAGGAATGTGTTTTTCTGGGATACTCTTCTCATCACAAAGGCTATAAATGTCTCTCTCCATGTGGCAGAATTTATCTTTCCAGGGATGTTATATTTGATGAAACCAAATTTTCTTACACTACTCTTTTTCAATCCCCATCCAGTTTATCTCCAAGTGTCCCAGTTTCCTTATCAGCCCCAATAGCAATTCACTCTCCTTCTCATTCATCTTCATTCCACTCTGACAATGGTGCCACTCCTACATCCAATTCCAACAGTTCAAATTCTTCTTCTAGTCCTTCATCTACTCCTACATCTTCATCCACTCCATCTCAGTTTAACACTGATCATCAAATTCCTCATCAACAATCCTCCCAATCTGAGACAACTCCTTCTAATTCATTTAATGATAACACTGCCCACTCTCACTCCTCATCATCTGATTCTAATCCTCCTCCACCTCCAAGTCCTCCTCACAACAATCATCCCATGCAAACCAGATCCAAATCTGGGATTGTAAAACCTAGACTTAATCCCACCTTACTGTTAGCTCATATAGAGCCTAAATCAGTGAAGCAAGCTCTCTCTTCTCCACCTTGGCTTGCAGCAATGAAATCTGAATACAATGCCCTGATTGCTAACAATACTTGGACTTTAGTGTCTCTTCCTCCAGGCAAGCAGGTTATTGGTTGCAAATGGGTATTCAGAGTCAAAGAAAATCCTGATGGTTCTGTGAATAAGTTCAAAGCAAGGTTAGTTGCCAAAGGTTTTCATCAAAGGTTTGGTTTTGACTTTGGAGAAACTTTTTCTCCAGTAGTTAAACCTGTCACTATCAGAATTCTTCTCACATTGGCTGTCTCTCATCAATGGTCTATACAACAACTTGATATCAACAATGCTTTCCTAAATGGGGACCTTGAGGAGGAGGTCTACATGTCTCAACCCCCTGGTTTTCAAGCTAAGGACACCTCCCTTGTTTGCAGACTCCATAAATCCTTATATGGTCTAAAACAAGCTCCAAGCTTGGTTTCACAAGCTCACTTCAGTTCTGTATAATGCTGGTTTCAAACAAAGCAAAAGTGATCCTTCTCTTCTTATCTACCTCAAGACTGGAATCCAAATCTACATCCTAATCTATGTTGATGATATTCTGGTCATTGGCAATAACTCCACTGTCATACAACAAATCATTCAAGCCTTACATTCTTCTTTCTCTCTCAAACATCTGGGGGACATAGATTTCTTTCTGGGCATCCAAGTCAGGAAATTACCTAATGGTTGTTTGCATCTTTCCCAAACCAAGTACATCAGAGATCTTCTTCACAAAGTTGGAATGGCTGATTCCAAGGGTGTGAAAACACCCATGGTTAGTACCTGTAAGCTTACCAGTGAAGGGAATGATTCTCTTCCTGATCCTTCTCATTACAGATCTGTTGTTGGAACCCTACAGTATGCTACCTTAACCAGACCTGAACTCAGCTATGCTGTAAATAAAGTGTGTCAGTTTATGGCCAATCCCTTACAAGAACATTGGAAAGCTATGAAGCATATCCTGAGATATCTTTCTGGAACCATCACTCATGGATTACTGATCAAACCTCTTCCTTTGACAAAAACACCTCTACCTATCACAGCTCTTTGTGATGTTGATTGGGCATCAGATCCTACAGACAGGAAGTCTACATCTGGGTCATGCATTTTTCTAGGCCCTAATATTATTTCTTGGTGGTCCAGAAAGCAACTAAGGGTAGCCAGATCTTCAGCAGAAGCTGAATATAGAAGCCTAGTAGATACTACATCAGAAATTTTATGGGTCCAATTCCTACTCAAAGAACTTCAAGCTCCTTTCACTCTTCCCAGAATCTACTGTGACAACCTTAGTACAGTGCAACTAGCTCACAATCCTGTTCTGCATACTCGTATAAAACACATGGAAATTGATCTTTTCTTTGTACGAGAGAAAGTCCAACTCAAACAGCTTGAAGTGTTTCACATTCCAGCCTCCCAGCAAATTGCAGATGTGTTGACCATGCCTCTATCTGCTTCCACCTTTCTTGAGTTCAGAAACAAACTCAGTGTGATTGACTTTCCAACTCAATCACCCTCAATTTGAGGGGAGAATGTTAGGAATAGTGTAGGAAAACTCATGGTTTTTAAAGGCGTTTCGCATCTACGCCTCTGAGGCGCAAAGGCGCTAAAGCGTTAAAAAGTCGCCTGCAAGGCTTAAGCCTTGCCTTCCACTAACAAGGCTTACACCTTTTTTTTACTGAGGCGGTGATGCGGTCCAATGCGCGAGGCGAAGTTGAGGCGTACGCATTTAATTAAATGCAACTTGGGCTTTTTTTTGAATTATTGGGGGCCTCGATTTTTAAAAATAAAAAAATTACTGCATGTTTATCTCTTAGTCGACACAAGACAGCCCTAGCTCCACTACTACGAAGAGCGACTTGAAGAACCGTCTCAGTCGAAGCCTAGAAGCTGAGTACATACTACATAGACTTCGATCTTTCAGAGTTGCTTCCATTCCAGGTGTTATCAAGTAAATAGAGTAAAATATCCCACCGCCCACTTGTATAAAATATCCCACGCAGCTTCTGAAGTTTGTTTCTTATTGTATTTATTGTTTAAATGTATTTATTTAAATTTTTAATTATTTAAAAGTTCAGTTTTTATTGTATCTACTACGTATTAATGCTTTTTCAGCCAGCAAACTAGAAAACATCCCACCACCCCACTTCTTAGTTGTTTTGCTATAAGATATTATGGTTGCCATTCAATATTATTACCATATTATTATGGTTTAAACTTTAAAGTGATCATAAAACTATCATTTAGCTTATTTATTTGTTTAATATTACGTACTTTACTAGTTTACTACTTTACTTGGATCAAGATTTACAATTTAATTAGAAATATTATAATTAACTTCATTACAGTTTGATTGTATCTTCTTTTTTAAAGTTGATTATTAATTAATTGGCTATTTTGTGTATCTAGTTTATTTAAATTCATGTAAACAAATCATTTTACTTGTGATTTTGTTTAGCTGCAATATTGTTTAACATTTAAGCAATTAATTTTGAGGCTTACACCTCGTTACGCCTCGAGGCTTACGCCTCGTGAGGCTACCACAGAACGCCTCGAGGCCCGATTTCGCCTTTCAAAACCTTGGGAAAACTACACGTGTATTTCTTTGTAAAGCAATGTAACTGCTTTCTGTTAGACTTCGGTTATGTTAGCTATGACTACTTCCTGTATAAATACTCTGTAATATCTGATTCTAAGTAAGATGATTTCATTTCTGCTTCTACCTTGCTTCATTTCTATTATACAGAATTAACTCAATTAACAATTAAACAATAATCAAGACAAAACGAATCATTTCCATCCACTCAGGCCGTCAGGCAGTACGTACATCCTAAATTTTTGTTTCCCGAGAGTTCTAACATTTCTGAAACTTTTATTTTTGGGTAAACATGTTTCTTTATTTTCGGAATTCACAGAAACGGTTGGGATACAGGTTTCCTGCATTATTGGTGTTCCGAAACATACAAACGTTTCCGAAACGGCGAAACTCTAACCCTTTATCGTTTCCGTGCTTCCTTGTTGGGCATTATTATGATAAATATTATGGTATCAAAATTCAAATTTAGATTGATATAGTGATTAGAAAAGGCAGCAGTGAATACTTTAAGGTGTGATGCAGTGCCAAACAAATTTGGCACCTGTCTCACAGGGCAATTGAGTAGAGCTGTTGAAATGTTCTGACATACTGACCGTTTTACAGTTCAAGGTTCACTAGAGTTTTTTATGTGACAGTAGGAGACCACAGAAAATAACAGATTATTTGAGTAGGAATGTAGGATGAATGGAGATGCTCTAGCCTCTAATATGATTTGAATACGTAAATCTTATTTGAAGGGAACCTTTACAATAAAAATTCACATTGTGCTTGTTCTGAACTTTCCTTAAAAACAATGCTAAAGTAAATACCCACTATTTTGTGGGACAGAGGGAGTAAGTAACTGATATGCAGTGGTCTGAATATTAGTACAAGGGCGAATAAGAAAATTTGATCTATATTTAGAATTTTAGATATACAAAACGCTAGAAGGAAAACAATATAACTTTGTCAAGCAAACAGAAATAAGTAATAACTAACATTGTGCTAATACAGCACAAGAAATGCAAAAACCTGCATGATTGCACGGCTCAGAAACAGGCTAGCACCCTACTCCAAGAAAGGGATGCATAGATAACCAACCTGGATGCAGAATGCAAGCCCCAATATGTTGTTTGCTAGCCAATGCTTTTGCTTTGCGTACCATACACAGAAAATAGTTCCAGGAATTGCAGCTACAATCTGAGACCTTGTGAACTCAACATCCAAAGCTGAGAAAGAAATGTGAGGAGAAATATCAGGTATTGGTGTTGCAAATTTTCACGCAGATGAAAAGAAATTTGGAATTTTAGATGTTGAAACAAATTGTCTTAATTCGGTGAATTATGGATCTTTTCAATTTCTAATATTTTTTAAAATATGGAAATTGTGATTGAAAATACAAGAATGACAAATTGAATTTGAAAATGCATGTGAAATTATGAATATGGAATAATAGAAAGCAGAAGGTATCAGCACAGACTCGCATAGCAATTACCAAGCCACCACTAACAAGTTTGTGTCTTCAACCTACCTTTATAAATGTTCAAATAGAACCTTGAACCCAACTCTTCATTAGACCAAGATTATATTAGGGTCCTTTTCATATTTCATGTCAAAAAACTAAAAATAGAGAGTCTAGCTTTCATATATGAAAATAGTCCTATTGTTAAGCATCTAAAGAGGATGCAACTCTACTATTCTCCTTGACACTTGTCATAGTCCTTCTATGCATTACTAAGGGGTAGATGCTATATATTAATGTTACTAAGACTTTTATAAGCACACCTTATGGTAATGGTATTGCAGTAATAAAATGTCACAGAAAAGTGACACTTTAGATTCATCCCCTGCTAAGTGCTATCATATACAGTTTACTAATTAAAATGCCACAGAAGACACTCAGACAGTATAAATTAATAAGGGGCTTAAGATAAGCACCCAGTAAGGATGTACTTATTTTGTTCTATCAAGAAAACACTGCTAGGATTTTAAGCACTATGTAAACAAGTATAAGAAGACTGCAAAATTTCTAGATAGAATATAAGCTTAACTATTAGGAGTCTTACAGTGAAAATATGGAAAACGCCATACAATGTGATCATCGTTCCACTTTGTTGGCAAGAAATGTTTAATTTCAGGTAACAGTGTTGCTCTGCAAATTTAAAGGCAGGGATTATGATTGAAATATTCATTTATTTACATAAAGTATTAAGCATTAGTGGACTGATCCGTACTAAAAGAACATACGAAAGAGCTGCAATGCCGAGGACGAAGAAGTAACATGTCAGAACAGCATTAACCAGGTCTTTAGATAGGAACTTAAAAAGCAAGAACAGTGACAACAACATTGCACTCCCAACCAAGGGAAACCGCATTGCATGTTCACTGGACATTGATTCCTACAAACAAATATTTAGGCATCATTATCAATGGGTTACATATTTTTGTAAACCTTGTTTAATTTTTTAAAGAAAAACTGCAAAAGGGGAATCGCAAAACGTACTGAAGGTGGAGTTGGTTTAACAGATCGGTAGCAACCAACATACACTGTCAGGCTAGCTGTCAAAATTACATTTAGATTTGGATCTACATTTACCACCAGTGGAGCCAGTGTCAAACCTGAAAACAAAAAGAAATCACACAACAACCAGTGGAAGCATCGCTAGTGACTAGCTTTTTATTATTCTTCCGAACAGATTATACCATGACATTTGACCAAAAAAACTAGTAGTCCATATTACAGGACAATGTTCCCTGATTGGCCATATGCGAATTGTTCTCACTTTCTCAAACATCCTCCCACCAATTCCATACAAGAGTAAGCACATCCACCCTCAGAGACCTACGGTTAGGTTCATGCATACTGCATACGACCACAATTGCTGGTTTGATATCTACCAGCGCGTGAGGAAAAAAAATAACTCAACTAATTAAAATCATCTAAGATTGCAACACTAGGAAATTCCCTCCTTAGTTTTATTCCCTCCATTTTACATTTAACTTTTAAACTTAATATCTTATTGTCAATATGATTTACAGTAATTAAGTAATTACTGATTAGTCTATGAGCATCACTTTGCATTTCACAGCCCCCCTTTAAAATCATAATCACAATGTCCATCTTTTTTATAAAAAAAAAAGAATATAATCAGACCTAGATAACCACAAGTCCTCAGTAATAATAACAGAAATTGCAGTGAATAGGAGTACTGTATTTTCCCCCTAAATAGGATTATCAATTGTGTCATTAATGGCTGTGAACTAATACCTAGTAATGCCAAAATATGGAGATTAATTACCCTTATTTAGGGGAATCGTGGTACTCCTAATTAGAGAAATTTAAAAATAAACTAAACATTTCACTTTGTTTGGTACTCGGTTCTTTAAAGATAGAAACCAGAGGGCTATTTTCCCAAGCAGACAAGCAGTTACGAAAGTAAATTATCCCAAGATTCTACACAAGACAAAGTAAAGGGATTCTGAGAACGAAATAGACCTGTTAAAAGTATATTCGCCAGGCGCTCGATATTCTTCATCCTTAGAAACAGTCAAGACTGGTAGCCCTGGTTCTTGTTCTTTTCTGCTTCACCCTCGGCAGAAGAAGCTCTAGCACAAAGCGAAATGTTAAACTTCAAGATCAATATGAACAAAATTGAAGTAGAAACGGCGTCATTAGAATCTTGCACAATTAGACTTATATAAACCCCATTTAAATATTCATCTGTAAAGAAAAGATTCAACTTTATTCAAAAAGAGAAAATCATTATATGAATTCCACCCATTACAAAATGTCAACAAACCAGGATTGAAGTTTTCACGACAAGGACAGATTCTTCAACCGGTAACCCAATCCAAAGATTAAAACATACGGAATGAAAATTCAAAAATATAAATGGAGGTTTCACCTAAAGATTTTTTGTGGTTGATTCTCCCTCCCTGAAGATAGATCGGAGAAAAGCAGCGCAGACAGTTTCCGAAGGTCAACAGGGTTTTAACTGAGAAGTGTGAAAGTATTAATTAATTAAATTTAAAAAATTACATTAATTAAAGCTGCCATAATAGAGGTTTAATTTGGCGCTTCAGTAAATACGCAAGTCAAAACCGTAGAGGGACACGTAGGGAGCGTCACATAAACAAATGAGATTCTGACATGTCACGTTCGGAAATAAATCTGCGCGATGTGTCTAGCGTGGGTTTATTGACATCATAATTGATCCGGGCCGCAATAAACTTGGGCATTTGTAGTGAGCCCAATTTACGTAGATTATTGGGAAATAAATATTCGCGATGTTAGGCTAAATTTTCACAAATTATATTACCCCGTGATGGACTAAAGGGAGTCAAACAAGGTCGTTAAAATCTCGATTTAAATCGTAAAATCGTACGATTTTATGATTCTACATTAATAAATCTATTCAAATCGTAGGTAAAATCGTAAAATCATAAAATCGTACAAAATCGTAAAAAATCATACAAAAAAACGTGTAGAATCATTTAAAATCGTAGCAAAATCGTAATAAGTTTTTTTAGTGAAAATGATTCAAATTTATTAAAATTAACTACTACAAATTGATACATAATTACATTAATTAATTATAATATCAATAGTATATCTAAAAAGTAATGGACTCTTGTGTTGTTTAATTTTTTTATGTTTAATGTTATTATTCACTACATTTACATTATTAAAATAGTTTATAAGTGTTGTTTTGGACCTTGTAGGTATAGTTTTATTTAAGGAAATGATATAATACCATTAACTTGCAACTTAATATTAATATTTTTTTATTTTATACTACCTTCGTCCCAAAAAACTTTGTCAATTTCAAAACTTTGATCAATTATATCTTTTTATTGGAAACTATTTATAATATAAAAGTTATATGAAAATGTTCTTCGTTAAAAGTACTCTCATAAAAGTATAAAATTTGTAACTTTAATAATATTATACTAATCAAAATCATGGTTTAAATTTATTGAAATGGAAAAGTTTTTTGGGACAGAGGTAGTACTTATTAAGATATGTTTGATAAATTCTTATGATTTGTGATTCGATTTTACGATTTGATTTTCAAAATCATCTACCGGTTTGATTCAAAATTTAGGATTTTAACAAACTTGGAGTCAAATTGGGGTCACCGTCCCCTCAATTTTTCTCTCCCAATAATATTTATAATTTACCCCAAAATTTTAATATGTATGTGTTTGTATGTTCGGGAATTCCTACATCCATTGATGGTTGTACCAAAGGCATGTTACAACCAATATTTTGGTAATTAGTTGCAACCTGTAGAATGATTATTGTGTGCTTTTTTCTCTTATTCTTTCTCTCTTCAATAACCTTTAGCTTTAACTTAATATTCATTGCATACAATCATCATTCCTTGAATCATGTATTTCTAAGCTTACATTTATGCATGATTGAAGTAATGAAGGTTAAGGGGGGCAATGCATATTCACAAGTATACATAGACAAGAAGAAACTACAAAGGCTTAACATGCTGCCAGTTTCAGTGGCTCCCCCCCCCCCCCCCCCCCCCCCACTACTAATGTGGGAATGTATGAACTACTTGCAACAAGGGACAATGGACCAAGAAGGGGTGGAGGAAGGAGCAACTGTTGATGCATAAAGAAAGGGACCACTGTATAAAAGGGGTAAACACTGGCAGTTTTGATTTTTGTTGTTGAAGTATAGTTTAAAACATTTTTTGCAAGGCCATGTATAAATACTCCATATTTTTGCACAGAGGAGTAGGTCTTTATTTTTTGATGTAACAGTGTATAAGCCCACAATTTGGTCACAATGAATGAAGTAATTTCAGAATTTCAGAATGATGTCGTTAATAACAATGGAGTAAATCAACAATGACCAGGTTTAGATAATGCAAAACACGAGTAGGACTACAGAATACAGAATACACACAACCAAAGAACAAATTAAAGTAGAGATTAGGAGTACATCCCTTATGGAATATCCAGACGAATTTCATCCCATGGATCAGCCCTTTCCTTCGAGTTCACCTCCTCTTCACCGGAATTTGTGTCGCCAAACCCAGAAGAGCTTGAATCCACCAAATCGGACCCGAATAATCTCCGGAGAGGCCAACCTGGTCAGTTTCTGAAGAGGTTGTCCAGTCTGGACAATCGGTGCTTCAGGAATCCAAATCAGAGACGCGCACCGGATCTGCTAGGCGAATGGGCACATTACTCAAAACAGGGCCTTCCTTCGATTTCTCTGAACGAGGTGATGGACATCCTTCATTAAGCCTTTGATCAAGCAGTATCAGTTCAGAATCAGACTCATATGGATCCATGCAAAGGAGCGATGGATTGGTAGCTCAGAAATAAGGTGACAGACAACAGATTAGGAATGGAGAGGAGGGCTGTGAGGAGGGGTTGGGCGGTCGAGATAAACCAGATGGACAACCGAAGAGGCAATAACCCAGACCGATGGAGAGATAGAGAGAAACCAAAGAAATCGGAGAAATAGAGAGAAGGTTTGAACAAGAGAGAGAGAAGGAGAGACGGATACTTCGAGAAATGGGGGGTGATAATGGCCGATTTAATGGGGAAGGTGGGGCGGATAGGGATTTATGGTTGGGTGGGATGGGGATTTAATGGGGATGAATAATGGGATAAGTGGAGAAAAAAATGTAAAATATAAAAATGTAATGATAAGAAGTTAAAAGGTGGTGGGGTCCATGTCTAAAAATAGAAATGGGACTTTTAATTTGATACGTCCCGAAAAGGAAAGCAAGTCAGTTAATTTGATACGGAGGGAGTACTACTTAATGTCCCGACTTGTTTTCTTTTCTTTTTCGGATCAATCTTCCGTTCTTTTTTTTGAAAAAAAAACTTAATTATTATTGATAAGAGTATCATGAAACATAACAATCAAGAGCCGAAACATTACAATCATAACGTTCAAAGCTACATTATGGTGTCTAGTAGGAACCTCAAAGACTACACGCGCAACAATTTATCCTAAATCCTTCTGTGAGTGACTAGAGATAAAGAACAAAAATGACATATAAAGACACTCATGTTCGCTAACCCTGCAATGATGTAGACTAGTACCACAGTGTGACTGCTCATGCTACTCAAAATGGATTCAGTTTGACCAGATACCGAAAAGGAATTATTGAATTTTCTGATTTTGTCAGCCATCGGTAAAGAGTCACGTGCAGAATTTGTTCTGATTTCACCAGCCACCTGAAAGAAAGAAATCCATGGAATCCCATCTTCTTGTATCGATGGTGGTTCAAGAGGGGGGCGATCAGCCTCAATATTGATGTAGAAGAAAACCCGATTCATGATTGATGAAAAAGCCGCTAGAAATCTATTACTAGCAAACAAGAACACCCGAACGATGATGATGGTGAATATACATGTGGCGGATGATAATTCGCAACCGAAAATAACAACTCTAGATAACGCTAGGAAATAAACGTATAGATAGAACTGAAAATTGTGATTGCACGAATCCTTTTTCGTAATTCAAGGCAAAAGAATTGAAGGAAGAGAAGAGAAGAAGGGTAGGAGGAGGCTAGGGTTTCCCCTCCGCTCCTCTGTCTCTATCCACACATATATTGTGTAGTCTACCCCATTCAATCTTCCTTTGTAATTTAAGTTTTTTTTATTTTATTTGGGCATGTGAAAATATTGTTGTTATTACTCCATTTGTCCATAAAAAACTTTCACCTTTCCTTTTTGGGCATTACAAAATAAACCTCTACTTTCCTTTTCGGTAAACATTTTGTGGTTCACAACAATTCTCACACATTCTTACACATTTCTCTCTGCACAACTCTCCACCACACAATACACATTATCTTAATCTTTGTGTCATTTGTACTATGGAAGAAAAAATAGGGACGGAGGGAGCAATATTTTATTATTCATTTTTTAATTTTAAGATGAATATTTATTAGTTTATTAAATATTATGTTAATTATTTTAATATTGTGTTAATTAATAATTTTATTTTGTGTTATACTTAAATGAGTACAGTGTTTAAAATAAATGTGTGAGAGTAAACGTTATAAAAACAACATGATTAATTTTGTAATTGAAGAGCGACAAATTATAAATTATCTTTAAAATAAATTTATTATACTCCTCATTGTTATAAATGATGATAGTTTAGTAAATTCGTATTAATGAATCTACTGTGTGTGCATATTATACAAAAGAGTTTATGTTATACACAAATAAGTATAACTATTAAAAGAAATGAATATACATAAATAAACGTTTCAGCACATTAGAGAACTTAAATGAGCTTTCGAAATTTTCGATGCTCATTTTGTAATTTATGGCTATGTTTGACAAGCATAAGTCTCTACCTTCTAGCTTTTGTACTGTTCAAAAAGTCTTTAAAAGCTTCTAGTTATATGTTTGGCATGACAATTTTTAAGAGTTTTTCAAAAATTAAAATATCTTTTTTGAAATGCTACAGGGAGTAACATCTGAAAAAAGCCCGTGACTTTTAGTATTGATTAGTCCTAACAGCGTGTATACCAAATCGAACTAAATCAAACAGTCAACTTTTTACCAAACAGCTATCACCTTTTCTCTTTAAGATCTTTTCAGTCACTAAAAGCTAACAATTATTAAAAAGCTCATAAAAGTATATTTTCAGCTAGTTGTGCCAAACATACCCTATGTATGTGCATTAGATATTAATGTTATGCTCATTTAAAAATGCCATATCAATGCATTTTCAAAAGTATAATATTACATTATCTTTGGCGGTTCTCGTCACAGGTATAGCGGTTTTAGAAGACAGCCTTTCCTTCCCGACAATCGAATGTCGACATCCCTTATTGGTCGTCCTGTCTTCCAACACTGCCGCTTGTCGTAGGACTAAAAAGTGATGAATCGACAATTTGTTTATAATAAATTTATTACATCTACATATTATAGAAATGAGTTTTATATTAAACTCAAATGCGTATAACGCCTAAAAGGAATGAACATACACAAATGAGTATTGAGTACATTATAAATGAGTTTTACGTTAAACTCAAATAAGTATAACGCCTAAAAGGAATTAACATACACAAATGAGTCTTTAAAGTTTTTGATAATAATTTTGTAAGTAATGTATGGACAGTATGGTCATTTGGTACCAACTACAAAAAAATCGTTATAGGCAGAGAAATTTGGCTCGGCAGTATTCCGTGCCACATTTGTCTCGCTTTTTGGCTCGGGAGGGCTACATACAGCTACCTTTTCGATTTTGGCACGGATAGTTTGGCACCAATCAGAAATTCGGGGTTGGCACGGAAAATCGGAGCCAAAATCGGAGCCAACAACGAAAACGGTAATCTTTGGGATAGCAGGCTCTTCCGATCCAAAACGATAACACTTGGGATAGAAATTCGGTGTTGGCTCGGGGTTGACCAAAGCTATGGTTTGGCTCCGAATATTCTGTGCCAACATTTCAGGCCGTCAATTCCGAGCCAAAGTTCGTTCCAAAACCGGAAAAAATCAAATTAGTTCGTGGAATATTATGGTTGGGATTATTCCTTGTCAAACAATTTGGAGACAGTTTCCGTGCCAAATTGTTCCCGTTGGGGATAACTTTGAAAATTGCGATCCCAAATGTAGTCGTTGAATTCCTAGCCAAAGTCTGTCCCCAAACTAACCGTTGATACTTCCGCCCCTATTCCTTTCCTAATTCCGAGTCAAAAACTACCCTTCGAAATTCCGTGCCAAAAACCTTGCCAAACAAATCTATATATTGTCCTGTATTGAACGCATCTTATTATGTATACATTCATTACATTCTTATTAATAGTGATGAATTCTCAAAAAAATGGAAAGTGATATTATTTTGTATTTTCAATGTGGCCGGAGTATTTATATTTGGATTTCTTAAACTAATTATCGTCATAGAATTTTTATAAGTGTATGCAATAGATTATTCGACGGAACAGAAGACCTCAGCTCTTCTGTTACGCTCTGTGAACAGAAGCTCTCAAGCTCTGTCCAAGCAACAGAACTGCTCAACACTTAGACGAGTCCAAGCTTTGTTGCCTAAGCCGGTTAAACAAATGGGAAATTCCCTAACGGCTAGGAGCCTCTCAATGGAAAAGCTACAGGACACGCATTAAATGATCATTTAATGAGCTTCACACATCGGGATATTTAAAGCTGATGATTGACCAGGAAAATATCTTCTCGCCCCCAAAATAGCAAGTCGGCTACATTTTGGAAACCAACCGGTCAAATCAACATTACATGCATTTAATGAAGATGTCCTCTACACTCCAACGGGAAGGCATCTTTCAGTATATATGATACACTTCGAAGAATTGCAAGGTAACAATTCTCTCACAAGCGAAATATTCAAACTCTTGAGACTACATCTTCAACATCACAACAAGAGAAAAACTTACGTTGGAAAAGATCATACTCTTCATATCTTAACCTTCCAACTAAAGAGAATCGTTCATCCAGTTCTTCAACACTTCAAAAGCCTCATCTACACATCCTTTGTAACGAAGCGACGTTGGAGAAACCATCTTGATTTAAACACTTCTTGCAAAAGAAGGGACATCTCAAAGTAATTGGAGTAGTGAAGTGGACATACTTCAAGGAGACTCGGTGAAACGAGACCAGTCATCAGGAAGCAAGGACTGCATCCCGAGTGACAACTGGACTTGAAGAAGACGTGGAGAGCTTCTTAAGTGCTAGTTCTAAGTGTTGTAACTTGATCTTTTACAAGCTTAGTGGAACAGTGGACTAGAGGAACACGATGTTCCTTGAACCACTATAAAAATCCCTGGTGTCATTTACTTTACACACTTTACATTTCTGCATTAAGATTCTAACTGCTTGACTCAAAAGGTTTGGACTCTGTGTTCAGCAGATCTCACCTTGTGAGTTAACAGAGAACCTATCTACTGCCAAGTCCAGTTCTGTCACCAGAACTCGACCTTCTCTGTCAAGTCTTTTAAGACTTAGAGAAATATTTTGAAAACCAGAACAGTCTATTCACCCCCCCCCCCTCTAGACCGTTCCTTGTGTAAACGGGACCAACAAGTGGTATCAGAGCCTCCTTGTTCTTGTAATCTTTTAGGTTACTTATTGAACAAAGATCCACTTTTTTCTTAGCCTCCTTGTTTATTTTCATATATTATGGATAACACACTTTCCAAGAATCTTATGTTCTCAGTTGTTAAGTTTGATGACTGGAGAATCCGAATGAAGGCCCACCTCTGTGCACTCCATGATTAGATGTGAGAAGTTCTTGATGTTGGTCCTTTCACTGAGTTCAAAAAGGTGAACCCAACTTACATTGCTGGTGGTGATGAACCACAAATGATCACCAAAGTCCGTTCAGAGTGGTCAGCTGAAGAAAGGAGAAAGTACAACCTTGACAACATTACCAAGGATATTCTGTACAAGACCATATATGACAAGTACTTCACCAGAATCAAAAGTGCACATCTGCCAAAGAAATCTGGGATACACTCACCCTGATAGGAGTTGGTGATGAGCAGAAGAAAGACAACAAACTCACCATAGCTATGAAGAAGTTTGAAGACTTCAAATATGAGTTTGCTGTTTTCTCTAAATTTATTCCGTTTCATTTTATTTCATGTTGCAGTCGGTTCTTGAAAAAATTGCTCCAACATGGATGAATGTTTCTTTGAGAATGAAAGATGATACTGAAGCTGACAAGGCTTTTGGATGGGTTCTAGAAATGTGAGTTGTATTGTATGGCTGTATACTTGCTTTGTTTTTCAAATATTGAATGCCATGTTGTCCTGCTAGCCTTTTTTATTTGCCTGTAATTTTTTTGTTTCTCAGGTATGGCTATGCAGTAGCATCTGCTTTGCATGGTGTAAGGCATACTCTTCATAAAGACTTCATGCTGCAGGTATTTATGAGCTAGAACACCTACCCCCACCCCACCCTCTTCGCGTTTGCGTGCTTACTTTATCCCTTTTTGTGTGTGTACTATTTATCAGTAAAACCAACAGTTATTTCTTCAGTCTTTCTGTTCAAGATCTTCTTACAGTTTTTTTTCTTTTTAATATAACTATACATACAATATAAAAATACAGAGGATATAAATTCTATTGCAACTTCTAAATAAATTATTATGAGAAGTAATTGTAAATAAGTTAAGGGAATCCTAGCAGCATGAGCAAAACACATGAAATGGGGTGAATATAATCCTAGCAGTAATATACTGATTACTGACAATTTATTATTTGTCTGCTGACAAAAGATTGATATTTATTTCAGCCTCCCTGGGACACTGAGGTTGGCAAAAAGTTCATCATTCACTATACGTATGGTTGTGATTACAATATGAAGGTGAGTTTTCTCAACTGCACATTTTATTAATTCAGTGTCGACATCTTTTCAGTTCAAGGGTATGAAATAAATATACGCATCATTGTCCTACTCTTATGGTGATTTTGTCAGGGAGAACTGACATATGGAAAGATTGGAGAGTGGAGATTTGACAAAAGATCCTATCTTCAGGGCCCTCCACCGCGGAACCTTCCTCTTCCTCCTCCAGGGGTTCCTGAAAGTGTGGTATGCAAACTCCCTTGCCCTTGTTTGGTTTGGGGATTCCTACAGGGAGGGGGTCAGGGGATGATATAACTTGTCAATGAAAAGAAGATGCAAAAATTCACGGTAGTCATTTACTCATTTTGCAGCCCAAAGCTATAACAAATACATAGAAAATTTAGTGCGGTAAAAAGAAGCACCCCCCTCTTTCCCTCCAAAATCCCGTAGAACATATAATAGAAAACATGTACAATAATGTTGGAGTTGCTCATCCTTTAAAAGTTACCGTTTTAAAGATGAAACCCTAGGTCTTAACAGCATAATCGTATTTGGTAAAAGTGTAACATAAACGTTCTAAACTCGCCCTGCTGACAAATAAAATACAAATAAAATCATAATCAATTCTTGAACTCTTTTAAATGGTTTCATTTGTTTATAAACATGTACAATGTTGCAGGTGAGACTGGTGAAGATGGTGAACGAAGCGACAGAAAATATTCCTGGGTGGGACACAAACTAAAAAATATATACCCCAACCGGGAGAGAGCGGTTAACTTCACTGCCTGTGTACAAGATTACTCATTCCCGCAACTAGGAATGTTCACACAGTGAGTTTGAACAGAGTACATTATTGAATCCAACAATGAGGAAAATATCATGAGCAGTCAAAATCAGTCTGATTTCTTGCTCTCTTGCTTTGTCTACCCATGGTAACCAATCTAATGCTCAAGAGCGTATCAAATATTCTTTTGTAGAAATCTGATCATTGATTTTAAGTTCTATTTCATTGTAACTTTGATGATCACTAACTTACTTTGAAACAATGTCATTATCCCTTACTAAAGTTACTCCGTAATCTAATTGTTATATTGAACATTTTGTTTTTTTTTTGTATTCGATTATCACATCATCTGTTAAATGACATATTGTATTTAATATTTATAATTGTTTTATTGAACTAATGGAGATTCAATGGTTGTAAAGGATTTGTTTTTATGATAAACAAATATTCATGTTATGGATCTGGTTCACTTTCGGATCCAAAATTAATGTTACCCGTAGTCGAGACTTGAAAAGATAGTCAAGACTAGGAAAACCTATGTTTAAAGAATCGGACTGGAGTACTGGACAAGCCGGGTCAGCCCAGAACCCGGTGAACTGGTATAAAAGTAAACATGTTTTGGAATTACAAAACATGACTTCTATTTTTTTCTTCCGAAATAGGTGTGTGATGGCATTATTTACTTTCATGTTCGAGTCATTATTACTATTGATGGATAGTCTACCCGGGGGTATATATCCGAAGGGTTATTACGGGGAATAACTTAGAGAGAAGTCAGAGCAAGTAAGTAAAAGTAGAGAGAGAGTGTATTCAGTATGAATGCCGTTTTCAGCGTGGTTACAAATGGGGAAATGGGGTGCTATTTATAGCAGCAATAAATGCTGGGCAGGGACACGTGTCAAGCGCTCATTGGCCGAGGGGTCACCTCAACTGGTTGGCGCTGGCAGCCGCATGTGGCCGCATTTAATGCAGCTGTTGGATGGGACATCTGTGCAGGGTACGGTGATCTTGTACGCATGTGAGGCGGATATCTTGTCGAGTGAGATGCCTTCGGCCATAGAGCAGTAGCCGAGGGCTCCTCCAACCGATGGCACCCTGGTGCCGAGGGCTCACAGTGCCGAGGGCTACTGTTTTCGCCGTTTTCTCCCAGTTTCTTAATTTGCTTGAGAAACCCGTTCTGTGAGAATTTGGAGCCTTCGGCCAGGGGGGCGAAGGCACCCCTGGCGCGTAGTGCGGACTGCTTGGTACTCTGGGTGCTGTGATTTGGGCCTGTCGGGCCTTTTGGGCCTTCGCTGGAGTAGTAGGAGTCTGTGGGCCGGGGGTTCCCGGGCCATATACTCCATCAGGAGTCCCTCACTCCTTTTGCCGAAAGGTACTTGAGGGAAAAGGAGTAATTTGTGGTTGCCCTTTGATGTTGTCCCATCGTGATCTCTGAAGTTGGTGAGGAGTTGTTGCTTTTATGTCCCTGCCGAAGGCAGTCCCTCAGTTACCCACATGTCGGGACTTGTGGGCTTGCCTTGTCGTTTGTTGGAATTTCACTAATTTTGTAATTTAATGATTTTCCCGAGGGGGTCCTCCAGTCCCCCACTCCTTGAGGCACTTGTAAAGTGGTGAAAAGGAGTAGAGTAGTTGCGTTGCTGTTGTGGGCCGAAGGCTGTTGTTTTTTCGTTTCATTTTGGGGGGATGCCTCGTTAAAAACCTCATTAGGAAAAACCCTTTGGGAAAAAATCCTAATGAGGGAAAAAGAGTGCACCGAATTCCCCCAATGATGAATCGAAAATGTCAAACCTTGGTACAAAGTGGAGAATGACGGGAATGCCGAAGGCTCTCTCTTCTGAGGGCTCCTGTATTGATTAGCCGAAGGCTTGCTGTTGATGTCCTGGTGGCGCCGAAGGGGAGCCCTCAATTCGGGGATCGAGGGCCTGCTGGATGAGGGCGACAATGGAGTTGTTTCCGGGGGGTCCACTGCTTGTTGATTAGTTGGTGATGAAGATACCCGAGGCCTCCCATTACCTGTGTGCCATGGGCCATCCGTCAATGAGGCAACTCCCCGGGGGCTACCCCGGTTTTGCAGTGCTGAGGGGGAATCCCCGAGGGGTGCCCTGATATGAAGCCCTGGGTTTCTGGAGGAGTGATCCCGAGGGCGTCTGTTATGTGCTGTGTGGGGCACAACCCGGGGGCACTTCTGAGTGAGTGTACCCGGAGGCTATCCTCGATGAAATGGAATGAAGTAGAAAACCCGGGGCCTTCCAGAATATAGCTGTTGGAAATATAGCCGTTGGAATATGTAACGACGGGATATAGCCGTTGGGGGGGTGGCACACGTGGCGTGTGATGGCTGGCTGTTCGCGGGCGGCGTCACCGGTTGGGTGAAACGACGGTGTGTAATGATGACGGTCCGTCCGGAGGCCCGGATTCCGGGCCCAAGCCCGGATTCCAGCGCCTATAAATACCCCAAGGCCAGAGCCATTCCCGCTGTGCGAACTCAGTTGTCTTAGCGAAGCTCTGCCAAAAAATCTAGTGAGAGAAACTCAAGCCTTCGGTCCTAACTCAGCTTTCGAGGTCAGTGCTCCCTGCCTTTCTCCTTCTAGTATAGCTGTACATTGCGCCCTCGGGTTAGGAGATAGAATTCACTAGAAACCTTAGTTCCCCCGAACCCTCGAGCTAGAGTTAGAATGTCGTCCCAGAGTGACTCTCAGGACATCTCGAGGACGCCCTCGATGGAGGACGAAGGCATCTCCGATGTGGAGTCCAGCAGCGGTCAGCCCTCGGATGGTGCTGATGCCGTCCTGGCCCGGGAGGTCCAGAAGGAACTCATTGCGGAGGTCGAAGCCGAGGGCTTCGAGCAGGAGTGCGAGGATGAAGACTTAGCCCTCGCATGGCAAACAGCGGAGGATGAGGCGCAGAATGAGAGCTCGAAGGTTACGATTGCTGTTCTCCCCCTCGGGGTTCTGGGGAAGCCAGTAGCTCGAGGCCGCTGGATCCGATACCTCTGAGGGCGGTTTCCGGTTTGAAGAAGAAGAAGGCCGCTACCAAGAAGAAGGAGAGGGCCGTCGATCAAGGAAAGCCCGTGGACATGCCCGAGGGGTACAGTTGGCTGAACACTGAGGCCCTCGAGATTAGGTCGAAGGCTGATAGGGCAGATCTGTACGTGACTCAGCTGCACGTGGGGCCCTCGGCCGAAGTGGTGGAGCCAGGTCCCGACGACGTGTTGTCCAGGGCGCCCGAGGGGTGTATCGCTTTTCACGTCCTCTCGGTTTCCATGGGACTTAGGTTCCCTCTGCACCCGTTCCTCCGGGAGTATTTGAGGTTTGTTGGTTTGGTCCCCTGCCAACTCACGCCCAACAGCCACTCCTACATTGCGGGGTTCCTCCAGCTCTGCAAGTCCCGAGGGGTGAAGCCCAGCCTGGATCTATTCTTGCAGAGCTTTAATTTGTGCCGGGGGGCACGAAAACGGCGAGGGGTACGCAAACCTGCAGCAGATTGCCCGCTTCAAGCTATTCTCCGATGCTCCTTCTTCCAACAAAGGATGGAGGGAACGTTGGTGCTACGTAAAGTTGGGTGAGAGCCCATTTCCGAGGGAGCTGCGTGATCGATTCCGAAGGCACGAAAAAATCAGGAGTGCTGCTCTCGAGAAAGACGGCCTAAAGCTGGCCAAGTTCCCGGAGGGGAAAAATAAGAACGTGGCGATCAAAGACTGCACCCTCGAGGAGGATTTATACACCCTCGGGTTCCGGAGGTACCGCTTCATAGGGGAGACCGATGAGAAGTACCCTCCCTTCAACAAGGCCTTCGGAGGAGCCGGAGGTAGGAGCCGAGGGCTTTAGAATTCTGTACCTAGTTTTATTTTTGCTTGGATGTCATTGTCCCTTCGCTTAGACCCGTCGGCCTAACCCTTCGTCATCTTTTTGCAGGTATCCCCGTCTCCATGGTGAACGTGAAGGGCCTCGCTCGCCTGAAGAAACAGGACCCGAAGGGGTCGGGACAGGGCAGCCAGAAGCCCGCCACTGCCCTCTTCAAGAAAGCCGAGGGCGATGCTGCTGCCGGCAAGAGGAAGGCGGCGACCAAGGGGTCCCCCCCGACTACCAAAAAGCCGAAGAAGGGGGATGTCGCCGAGAAGGAGCCCCCGGTCATTATTGCTGATGAGCACCCCGCCTCCGGGGTGCATGTGGAGAAGCCGTCGGGTGAAACGCCGGCGGGGGCAGAGGAGTTGCTGCCTGAGGTCCTCCAAGTTTCGTTCCTGAGGGGGACATCCCTGGCCAGCGGCGCTGTCGACCCGGGGGCCATCTTGAGGGGCATAACCCCTGAGACTTATAGGGCTGCCCTCGGGGCCTATAATGATGCGGCCCTCGAGGACCACATTCTCCGCTCCTCCCTTTCTGTAAGTGTTTACTCAGCTTTCTTCCTTTTCTCCTTTGATTATATTGTGCAATTGCCTTTAACCATTTTGGTTGTTGGTCTGCAGGCTTGCCTAGCCCTCGGTGAACATGCCCGGAGGCTTCAAGAATGGCGCCTCCATAAAGCAGAGCAGGACGCCAAGATGAAGGAATGCATCCTCAAAAATAAAGAGGCGGTGAAGCTGGGGGCCAGGCTGGAAGAGGAGCTTCGGCAAATGGAGCTGAGATTGGAGGCCGCAAAGAAGGGCAAGGCTGACGCTGAGGCCGCTGCTAAGGAGGCCAGGAGAGCTGCCAAAGAGGCCGAGGACTCCAAGGCGCTGGCCGTCGCCAAGGCTCGGGAGGAAGCCGTTGATGCCTTCGTCGCCGAGGGCTGGAGGGCCGAGGGACGCAAGATGTGGCTGTCCTCGGTCGTGGAGGCATACGTCGAGGAATGGGCCGAGGGCCCCGGGTGGGAATGGATGGCCCGGAAGGGCAGAGAATATTATGAAGCCGGCGAATTCTTCACCCAGGCCCTCATCTACCGGAGGATGGCTCGGCATTTGGGCATTGAGCAAAAAGATTTCTCCCCCTCGGCGTATGGCCTTCCTCCCCTGCAGCCTGATGTCCGTGAGTCGCTCCCGGAAGGTGTACAGAGGCCCGACCTTGAGGACACGGAGTTGAAGAATGAGGCCGAGGACGACGCTGTCGAGGCCGGAGCGGAGGCATCATCGAGGCCGGCTGCAGAGGGCACCCCGGTGAATGATGTTGTTGTAGTTGTAGAGTGATTTTGTACTTAGAAATCCTTGAACATATTTTGTAATGAACAACATTGATCCTTCGGCTTCGGCCTGTTTGTAAATTTCACACTTACTTTGTTTTTGATGAATGCATGCTGCCCCCGGGCTCTTTACATTTGAATGCGCCTTACGTTTTGAATGTATGCCTTCTACTTCTTGAGTGTATGCTTT